ACTTCTCCTTTGACATGTCTTTTCCTCCGCAGTGATAACGAAGTTATAACCTGGACGTTATTACATGAACCAATTTGTATATACACAATATGCAAATGAACGCGCGCCACGATGAATATTCACTATTAATTTATTCATGAACGAGAAGAAAATGACCACTTACTTTTTCATCCCAGACAGATCCCTGTATACGTGTATTATACGATTCTCAATACCGAGTGACATTCCTTTCTTCCAACCACCAAGTAGCACGAAAATTAGATAAAATTAGTCAGAAGTGAGCTCGTTGTACTTTTCGCTGATTCTCACATATTTGTCGGCCATATTTTTTTAAACACGCTGTAGGTGTGCCTACGTGAGCGTAAAACGGCGCTGATGGGACGAGGTTAATGACAATATGTCGAGCTGCCACGGTTCCTCCCACGCATCGACTGCACTGGCCCATATAATTATTATTCTGACTCGTGCAGCAGACACGCACGCACACGCACACACACACACACACACACACGCCTGGCCAACCATTTAATTTTCCATCGTTGAACGAGTCGTCGTTTTTGCGCGGAAAGGTCTGCTCCCGGTATCCGGTTATTTCGCGCTGTTTATCTCCTCGTGTCTTTCTTTTCACAACGCTTCCCCACCTCTCCTCCTTGCTTAGGCCGGCTCCGCGACTTTTTGCCCACTCGAGCGAGTGGGCCACTGATGCGTTCTTCATTTTTCGTCAGATCTTCCCCGAGTAGATGGACTTTTAAGTTGGAAATAATTCTCTGGAGATAATAACACGGGTTACGTCCACGCGTTTTATCCTGAAATTTTGGAGAACTTTTTCGCTCTGCTCCGGGATTATAAATGTAATTTGGATCGTCGTGATTCCACGAATGTCGTAGTGATCGTAGATTGACGACGAAACCACTGTCTTCAGATGGAGATCATCTTCGTTGCTCGCTCTCGTAAATATCGTATCGTGTCGTTCGTTTTTTATCGAACGACGTTGGAAACATGGTTGGTTCCCCGATGCCAACGAACATTGTATTGTTCAAGGAAAATTCTATTTTTATTCGGGAAATGGAGGAGAAGAGGAGGGAAGAAAATCTGATTGGCTGTTGAGCAAAAATCGCGGTCTTGAGGGCGGTTGCACAATGTCCTTCGATGACGCTTCCGGTGACCTTCCGTCGGCACTTCCGGTCCGTATCCGCCTCCGGTTCAGAGAACCGGAAGTCACGCTGGAGGTGGCCGCTTCGCGAAAGCTTTGGCGCAGCGTTGCAGCCGGGGATCGCGCGAATAAAAAAGTCCATCCACCGGACCTCCACGATTTATTTCACTTGCTCTTGAGAAACGTCGATCGACTCGGCGCGAAATATTTAAAAGGAACAATAATCGACGAGCGATATGATTTTTTTATTGCGAATTAGTGAAATGGGAAGCCTTTGCAGGGAAAAAAAAGTCAATCAATTTTCTGGACCGGGTCCAAGTCATTCGTGACAATGTTTCTCGACGGTAGGCTCCAACAAAGACCAAATATTCAATTAAAATCGCTTTCCCGAACCTTCCAGAAATATCCACTCTGTTTCAAAGTGAAACATTTTTTGAACCGTCGTGCACGCTCGTTCTTAATAATAAAAAAAAAAAAAAAAAAAAAGAAAAAAGAAAGAGCGACAGAATCGATGACGCTTTTTAACAAAGACCGAGTATCATGTAATTATAACGATTGAACGTCAAATTCCAAATCCAAATGTTGAACTTTTGACCAGAAGTTCGTATCTAGCCAAGTCTTAAATTTTTTAATCACAGGATGACGGCGTTCCGAATTTTTTGCTTTGAATTTTTGAGTTCGGCGACGGATGTGGAAAAAATTCTTCAATGGGGGAAAAGAATGGGAGAGTCGGGAGCGGTAGTAGCAGAGATTAAGTGATAACGCGGCTGTGTCTGTCGGTAGCGCAATTTCAATGCTCGATAGGAGCATGTAGGAGAACATGCATGTATCGCGTTGACATGTTCGCACACCGTCAGGCAGACGTATCTCGTCGATACGCAACGTGACCGAGGAGAGAGCATCGGGATGTTCTATATTTACCAGCAGTTCACTTATCACCCGCTTATCAGCGAGACAACCGGAGGAGGCGACTCGTCTCGTTGCGCTCTGGCAAACATTGCCTCGCTTTCTCTCCTCCTCCTCGTCTCCTCCGCTCGTTTCTCCACCGTGTATTTTTTATTTTCTCTCTCTCTCTCTCTCTCTCTCTTTCTCTCCGTTCTCTTACGTAATCTCAAATCTGCGTTGCACACTGTGCTCCTCTCGGTCTGTTTCTTTTTCTCCTTCTTACCTCTCCCTTTTCCTCGAAGACGGTGTGTCGTCGCGTTTGCACAGCTTTTGACGATCAGTTGATGCAAACGCGGAGAATCTTGGAGATTTTGAGCAGAAGCGCTCTTAGAATATCCCTGTACGTTTTGTAGATGCTTTTCATTTCATGGAGTAGTTTGAATGTTAACTTCTTTTTTGTAAAAATGTTTATTGAACAATTGAAGAAATTAGTGGGTTGTGTCACTTTGTTATTTAAAACAGAGGTAGTTTCAGTGAAAAAAACTTTACGAACAATCTTATAAATGTGATTTATATACATATTCATTGGATACAATATATTGAGTTTTTAATTTTCATTAATTTCATTAATTTGGTGAACTGATAAGATTGTATATTTTGACACTTCCTTGAAGTCCATTCTTACCAGTCAACGAATTACATATTACACAAAATACTGAACAGAACTTAGTTATGATTGAATCGGTCATGATCTATTAATATTAAAATAATTAAAATAACCCAAAAGAAAGAGTAAAAATCTGACTGGCAACATAATCTTATCCGCCTCTCGTCCTTATCTAATGCTTTTTCTGAAAGAAAAACGAAGATCCAAAGAATTGAAAAAAAAGAAAAGAAAAAGAAAAAAAAGTAAAGTAGTTATCGTCGAGAAATGTCGAAACAAGCTTGTATATACGTACGTGTGGCGTTGATGCAGGTCGTCGGTGCGTAATCAGTCAGTCGCTTCGCTTATCAGAAACACTATCGGCGTATCATCTGTGCGGGCCATGCCTGACCCACATCAGTTTGCGAATCGAAACCGAATGAACACTGCTTCGAATTTTCACGATGATTCACGTAGCACGCGTGCTTCTTGCGGAATTCTTTCTTATCTGCTTTGACCGATAAACCAATTGGCTTTAGCTGGAAATTTCAGTTTTCCTTTCGATTTGTAACGCAGGCTTGTATGCAACAGTTCGTTTCAATTCGTCACCCTTGCAAAGTTTCTTTCCCCGTTGTTAAATATATTTCTTCCTCCGCGTTGAATTTCATTTCCAGTTTAGTGAGGATGCAAGTTGTACTTTCGAAGCAAACTGCCAATTTTCTAAAGGAGGTCTCAAACGGTGAAACCTCGTCGTATTTCGGAGGCTCTCGAATGCCTGGTTTCGTTAAATTGGTATTTTCCTCGCGAATCGCGATTGTTACCTGATCGATGCCTGAAGAAATTAAACGAGCTTTTTCCCTCCGCCCATCATCGGCAAGCTTCACCGATGGAGGATCGGCCCATTTCCTAGCCCGTTTACGTGGAAACACGCGAGACCCGTTGCTTACGGAAGCAGGTACTTTGGATTTCATGATAGATCGTGTTCCTGTTGCGAGCCGGTATCGCCCTCCGTGCAACGAAATTTTATCAAATTTCTATCGAAATTAACACTCTGGCGAGTAAATTGCAATTCTATGTACATGCAATCTTATACTTTATTTGAGTGAACGAAATTGATGCGATAACACGACTGTAATTACTCTATTTTAGATAGTTTCAATTGCCGAAAAGTACACACAGCGAAGCAATATAGTAATTATTATTATTATTAGAAAATACTTGGAATATTCACAGAGTTTTAGGAACAATTTCTCAAAACTAGGAGGGAAACAAGTGTTCATCGATAGAGGATAGAAGTCGATGACCAACGCGAGGTTGGCGAATTTAGGTCGCACGATATCGGGCTGGTGCCGAGGTGCGGGCACCAGGACGTACTTTACCTTAGCTTATCGCGATCCGTGTTATCACGGTCAGATAAGGGCACCTCGTGCTCGCAACTCGACCGCCAGGTAACCGATTACGCCGTCGTGCAACTTGCAATTTTCGTTGGCCAGCAATTTCGAATTTAGCGAGTCGTTTCAGCCGTTTTCGCCGAAACGGAAACGAAACTCTTGTTCGCCATCTCTGAAATCAATTTCCCGACGACGTAAAAAGTGCACGAGAAATTTAAAAAAAAAGAGAGAAAAGAGTTTTCGTTGGCTGATTGAAAAAACTTGTCGATTTATTGAATGAAAGTTTTTCCATTTTTCAAAACCGATTCTCGGATACACGCGGGAAAATGGGAAAGAGGAATTAAAAAAAAAAAAAAACATTTTGAAAGTTGATTGAAAAAAGTTGTCGATTTGTCGAATAAAAGTTTTTCCATTTTCGAAACTAATTTTCGAGCGAGAGAAAAATTTTGTGTAAAAATTTGATTCTACTTCGACGGGGATGTTTTAATATGTGCGAAATTTCCCTGCTATTTATATTGGCGACGACTGTTACGAGCGAAACGATTACTCCGATCGAAGGTTATCATATTTTTGTTTCTCCCCTGGCGTGCCAGGTTTTTTTATTTTGTTTCCTTTACTTCTCGAAAGTATTTTTTCAATATCTTTTACATATATCGTAAATATCTTTGTGCATATCCAGAATTTTATATCAAAATTTTATTTTGTAAGTTATGCCTGTCATATTTTAATTTACAGTATTTTATACTCTTCGTTTAATTCTTAGAGATCAACATTTCACATATCAAAACACATATGCTCGTGTACGATGTTCTACAATTTGAAAATCCTCGTTTATGTTTCTCTTATTTTATCATGTTTATTACATTTTGTTATATTTTTTCATATTTCTTTCATTTTCTTTAGAAATATTCTATGCTGCCTATACGTCGTTTAACTGTTCGCAAATTATCGATTAAAACGAGAGAGATTTTTGAACGTCTCGAAAACCATTTTGTAAAGTGGCGCTCAAAAAAGTCCTGTCGCGCCATCTGCCAGACTAGGGAATTACTCGTACTGCGCAATTTGACCGGCAGATGGCAGCACAGTTTCGCTTGGCGCCCGTTGAAAAATCGAAACTGGCGCGGCGTAATTTCGCGAAAAATTGCGAAAAGGTGGTGAACAATTAACGACAGCTTGTTGCGAGTGTTCATTAGTCGTCTGTCAACGATATTCTACGACGAGACGAGGTAGGAAACACGCTTGATCGACGTTTGCATGCAATATTTAGCAAGGATCATTGACCTCTTAATGTACATGCCATTCACGCGAAATTTTCTAACCTATACACATTACCGCCGCGTGTCGTCTCACAACATTTGTACATTTCAGTATCAGTTAAACATTCACGCGTTGAACAACGAGTAAATACGGTCGGAAATACGCTTCACATATCGTTTCCAGTAACGTTAATTGTTATTTCCCCGTAAGTTCATAACAAAGATTGCAAAATTTGAATTTTTATGCTCGTGAATTTTAATGGCGCGCGTGGTTATGGAAAAAATTTAGACGTTCGTGGTAGTAAATGGAACGTGTTTCTTTTATTTCTTGCTATTAGAAGAGTACGATTCGATTTCAATTTCTAATGTTAAAAAGATGTTGGAACGTTAGATGGTTAGAAACGGGATGAGGCGTCCTCGGTTCACGAGGACACGAGAATGCTAGGAAGGAATGGCGTTTACTTGGCGCACTCGCTCGACCAGTTTTTACTGTCCGCGTAAGTCCCCCTTCGCAGATTCAGCAGCAGTTCAACTATATCGTGGTCGAGATGTAGAAATTCAACTTTTAGACTGGCAAAGTTGGCTTCTATTTGTAGAATGAACGTATCATTATGTTATACATTCCTTTCCCTTGGACAATTATTTAAAAAACTCCGTTTTCTGGGGGAAATTATTTATTCCAGTTTGATGAAACACAGTGTGGAAAGCTTTAGAATACTTCTGTGCAACTTTATATTTTTTTGTGCTTGGATTTTCTAATAGTAGACGCTTCATTGACGTAAGATATTGGTAGTGATTCGTATATTTGGTTACATTGTGATTTATTATGTAATTTATATTTTTCTGAATACAGTAAGTATAATTTAAATGAGAGTCTGCTTTATCTGGTACAAATTATAACAAATGTAATGTTTTAGATATTTTGTATACATTTTTGTATACTGTGTGTTCTCTGTGTATTTTTATGTTTTTAAATTTGTCTGCAATGCAGAATTATGTATATTAAATAGATTATAGTATTACAATGAAACAAAATTTTGAGATTCTTAATGGTAATTGTAGATATAGTTTTCTTGTGTGTGTGTGTGTAATATTTGATGCTTTATAATTTAACATAAACATAGGTAGATTATATTAGTAATATTGTAAGATATTAGTCACAGTAATGGAATCAGTGGTAATAATATGGATACACAAACTTTCAAGCACTAATTATTAATACTTGTAGGTAGAATTCTCACAAATAATTCTTAATAGTCTTAGTTTTATTCAAGATTTTGTTGTTCAGCTTAATGTCAAATATTATATACTGTTATTTAATATTCTAATATTCAGATAATATGTTGTGCTATTATAAAAATGCAGGTCACTAGAGATACAAAAAAGTATCTGAACCTCTGTGATATAATATCATACGTATGATATAAAAACTATTTGCCCATCGTTGCAATTGCTATAGCTGATGACCATTCATCAAATTGTGAACATACAACCTGAAACATAAAAATGCATAATAAATGCTTTGATAATAAAAAGTTGCTACTATGGAAATAAGATGCAAAACGTGATTAAAAAGTATTTAATTAGAAAATGCAGATGTGTGCAAATAATTTTTGTATTCATTCTAGTATCAAATGCCCTAATTAATTAAAGTCACAGAATATTAGCTTTATATTTGAGGTAGTTGATTGTGTTAATTTTAGTAAAAAGTAATTAATTGTTAGTTCATTATTTTAAGTAAAATAATAAAATGTCTGAATTCCAGATGTTAAATTTATTATGGGTAGATTTTGTTTATTTTAACTTGGAGTATTTTTTTTTTTACAAATTTAACACTAAATTCGAAGTTCTATTTAGTCATTTTAGTTTTTTGTAGTATTTAGCATTATTAACAAAAGTAGAGACTAACTAAAACTAGTTTTACGAAGAATATTTCAAGAAACTCAAAAACAAGCTACATCATTGGTCAGAGGAAAGTAACAAAACATAAAGTTATGAAACAGTTTCACTTTTTCATAATGGAAATCGACGAAAGGAAATGGCAGCTTGTAGTAAGAACCGATCGGCGCATTGTCTAAGAGCCCATAAAAGGCATACTTTTCCTCTCGACCGGTGTAAAACTTGGAAAGTATGTTAACACTACAACTTTACACGCTGGAGAATATTTTCCACCGAGGAAATACGGCTTACCATTACACATCTACGACAATAGAATTTACAACTTTTATTTGAAGATCTGAAAGTGGAAATTTTATTTCAAGAGAAATGATTGGAATAATGAAAACTAAGTAATTTTTGAAAATAATCAGGGAATAATTTCTTCAATGAGTGACCATCAGTAAAAACGTTGAATTTATTAATTTAAAAACTCCGGGAAATGATCGATACAACTAAAGACTTCACTTTTAGCAATATCAAAGTGATTTTAAAATGATCTAAAAATGTGAAAACACTTCAAAGGCAATATTTAAAAAAAAAGTTTTCCAATTGAGTAACAAAGTTAAAAATGTAAAGGTAAAGCAAACAGTTGAATAAAGCGGTAAAGAACCATTGAAAAAGAAACAGAAAGAAGATAAATATGGAAAAGACCACTAATTGTAAGTAAGGAAGAAAAGATCATTATTTTTTTAACGTCGCTGTTATGTGTCACTGAGAGCTCCGGCGTAAATTAACGGAATAAAAGTAAATTTTCATATTTATCGTACGGAGAACAATAAAACAAGGAAGTGTGGCTAAGGAATTTATTGATGACAAATAAGTGAGCACGCTAATAAAGGAATTCGATCCTGCTGCAATCACGATGATTGACAAACGTTCTGAACAGGTAGATTGCATAATATCGTACGTGTGAAAATAACATTCGGCTGATCATAAATATATATTGAACCAAGAATGAGTTTATAGGCTTATACATAAATATTTGGATGTGATCTTACATATTACCATGTTAAGTAACAAAACATCATTAAACATTAATTTACTTTGGTTCAGAATTTGAAACAGAGTTCTCTCGAGAGGGAAGAAAATGAAATTCACATCTTCAAAGAGCAAGCACAGTAAAGCAAAGATGGTCTAACAAACATAGTCAAGTGAAGAAACAAGAAACTTGCTCGGAATTCTCTATGATTCAACAGGGATCAGCATCGGGTTACATTAATTTATAACAAGAAACAATTTGTTTACGACAAGAAACACGCAGTCACCCAATGAATATGAATTGGCCTAGTAAAGTTACTAGAGAAATCTTGCCAGAAACGAGGGGCCCGCAGTTTCGACAATGAGTTACAAGCGGTATTGCGAAATTAGATACTGCTGGCTGTACGTGGGGATCGTTACGAAAGCGACCTGGAGGAGGAAATTCGAAAAGCGGGGTTACGAAATCGGCCGACAGTCGCGTGGCTCGATCCTGGGCCGATTATCTACACACCGGCAGAGATCGCGGTGTACTCCCCCTCGTGATTGTCCGATGGGAGCCACTCGACGATCACCGTGGTCCTTGAGCACTTCCGTCTTCTTTTTTCCTCTCTACGTGCTGACGATCGACTCATCGTCTGACATTCACCATCGCGAATTCGCTCGTCTGCAAAATCCGCCCGACTACTCGGCAGCTTTTTCTTCCCTGCCACTGGACAGCGACGCAGAAGTTCTGCTGAACTTGACAGACACGAGGAGACGCAAGACACGGCTGTGTTTCTTCTTTCGGATGGGATTTGGCGTTATCTTGTGAAATTAAAGAGATCAAGTCGAGAGATTGAAGCTCGAAAGATCGAAGCTTTAGATTTAGGAGTTTCGGGAGATTGAAATTGAATGAAAATTTATTTTTTATTTCCCAAGACCCACAGTGGATAAAAAATTGAAAGCGGCTAAATAATAAAGGAAGTTAATAAAAATCCAACCTTCCTAAAGAAGAATTTCAAGTGTGGAACAACAATGTGAATCGTCCTATCTAAAATATCGCCAAATCTAGGATCATTTACAACAGCAAACCAACTCATTTCGCAAATATATTACCATCACACTATTGTATTCGGTCTTCGAGTAACGAGATTTATATTTCCTTGCCATTGTATTTCTTTTTTCTTTTTTTTTTTTTTTTTTTTTCCTTCTCGAGGTGTCCTCGCGGATAACAAGGAAAGAAGGAAAAAAATGATTCTAGCGAGGAACGTATAATTAGACATAATTACATAAGCTGGAGCAGAGGTACACTCGGACGAAGAAGTATTAAGGAAGTATCTGCCTCTCTGCTTAGGTGCTTTTAATGAAAAGCCAAAGAGACGTCTTGAAACTAGCTGGGTAGCAGTTGGTGCAAAGATGTCGTGAAAGGAAAATGCTTTAAAGCTAGTTTCTTCGAGATCCATTCTTACGAAACAGTCTGCTGTCGCGTACGAACACGTTGGCGTGGCAGAAACAAACAACAGAAGAAGAGAAACTTGGTCGTGGTGCAAGAGCAGCTAATTGCGTTTTTCTTCGGCTGCATGATGAGCACCAGTTCCCTCGGAGTTTAAAATTACGTGCAAGCAATAGTGGGAAGAGCATTGTCACTTGTAGTTTTTACGATAATTATCGTTACGTGTGACGGATTAGCTTTGTTGCAAAGGTTGTTAGACCGAAGATTTTTTTTTAACAATTTTACGTTTTTATCGAAAGAATTGTAATATCAGGCCCTTGCACTTCAGCAGTGAATTCTCAATATCATCTTCAATATTAATACACTAAGCAGAAAATATAATTCTACACAAACGATATTTTGCACAAGGTATTCATGATAAATTTATCTATATTCTAATTTCCATTAACATTAACAAGTTGAGCTTGTTAATTATTTGGGTGATTCATTATTATACAGCTAGAACTCCATTTATGTGAACTTGTCAGGCAACAAACAGTTTGTTAAATTATAATTTGTGCAACTGAAAGTTCACTGATCCCCCTTCCCCCCGTCCATACCTACATATATACGGTAAGTTCAT